AGCAAGTAGTACCTCCAGTAACTGATGAAGGCTCTTTAACTGGTTGGAGGGAAGATGAAATTACATAAAGAAAAAGAATGTCAGACAGACATTTGCAACAGGCTTAATCTGAAGTAAATCACCATAAGAACAAAAGGAAAGTCTGATTGATATAATCTAGTCTGAGATTCAGATGGGACTTATGCTTTGGAGAGCAAAACCAGAATTATCAATTCGATCTTCCAGGGAAGACTGGGGGCACTGTAAAAATAATTAAAAGGTAAGTCTAGTTTTGTTTCCAAGCTTTCAAACTGAAGGGTGTGGTTCTACTGCTGAATGGTCACATTTTCTGCAGAGCCAATCTCTTTCTGTCTCTTCAAAAAAGGCAAGGGGTTTAGAGGAAACATATTCTGGATCCCTCCCTCCACTACGTTATTCCTGCACATAGTCACAGATGCAAAGAATCAAAAACACAGACACAGGCATAGGGGCTAGAAACCAAGCCAATGGAGCAAATGGAGAGCAACAGCCTGACAGATGACAACGGTAATATTGACTCAACTGGGAACTTACTTGAAAGCCCGCTGACGCCTCATGGAAAGCTTTGAAAAACATTTTATTTGTTTAGAAACCATTTTGGTCATCACATTGCTTCTTCTTTCCCTCCCGCCCCAACTGTTTTCGGACAAGTCCCTGAAAATTCATCTGTGATCTGAGAATTAATTAACCAGGCTTACTACTCTTGTTAGTTCATTTCCTCTGAAGATGGTATTCACAGACTTCTAAAATATTCCCATCCATCCTGTCACACCCATTGTAAATATGATAAAATCTACCATTTATACAGCGCTTGATTTTCAAAGTACTTGACAATATAAAGTGGGTGGCAAGAGGCACCATTTCCATTATGGGGGAAAAATAGACCTGAAATAGACTCGCTAGATATCAAGCAGAATTTACTGAGGCAAATGGCTTACGTCCTTCACCACTCCCTTCCCTTTCTATGCCTTGTAGTCCTGCCTTTAGAGGCTGGTGGGGTGATGCGCTGCGGCCTGACCCATCTGTAGGCAGATTGCACTAATTCTGCCTTTCTCCTCTGTCTGGGTTGGTACATGGGAGGAAAGAGGAGCGTGAGAAGGTCCTTATGTTAAATAACTTGGAAAACTTCCACAGGGGTACTTCAGAGCAATGGTAGCCAAACTATCCTAAGCAGCTCCCAATGGCCTATTTTTTATGTTCGGCAACCAGGTAAAGGCTTGTTCGAAAAATGGTCCTGCTGTTTAAGTTGATTGAAAGCCACTGCCTTAGAGTAAACCTCCACTTCTTCAGGATTCCTGGAACTGAGAGACACGGTCTTCTTCTAGGTCCTCCCTGAAGGGCATATTCGACCCGCTTGTCCATTCTGGACTGAGCAAAGCGCCTGAGCTTGCCTGGTCTAACGCTGCGCCCTGGCTCAGGAATGCTGCAGGAACTAAGTGCTTGGGTGCCAGGCACGGTGTCTGGATCAACTTCCTTATACAATTTGCTCAGGGTTGAAGAGCAATGCCAACACCTGAATTTGCAGCAGCAATCCCTAGAATTTGCATTTAGTTCATTGGAACACTGCCTCCAGCTAACGTTTATAAGGAGCCAATTAGTTCTGAAAACATTTTTCAAAGTTTTCCATGTAGTGTCAGCTGTTTTAAACAGCAAACTTGGGAAGTAACTGCTGTATCTGCTAGAACTTAACAGATTGAGTAATCAGTCACAATGTATGTCATTTATTTCCCTAAGACTTATAATTTGAGGAGGGGGTGGTGGCTGAGGATGGTAATAAATACCATGGTTTGTTTTAGCATGTGTGGAATTGTGAATCATAAGAAAATATGTCACAGGAAAGAGTTAGGAAGAAGAAATTCAGAAGAACAGGAACAAGGATTAGGGAAAAACGGAGACCAAAAAAAAAAGGAACTATTGCGGCCAGTGCCCCTGGATGGATGACACTGTTTGGTTTGGCTGCCAACTGAAGGTTTAGATCGTGAAAACAGCTTATAAGGAAAGAGACAAAGCCAGGGGGGCTCAAAATGTTCATCAGTCTAGACCCAGGTTTGTCTTGGTGCAGAAAGATCACAAGAGAAGACTCTGAGAAGGGAGTGTTCTAGAAAGAGACCCTGACAGACCAGAGCAGTCCTGAATTCCTAGCTTACCCTGACATCTGGGATATGAGGAGGAGAGGACAGAATGCCTTCTACCCTGGCATTTACCAGAAAGTCAGTTCATAGCACGTGTGTTTTATGTGGAAAATCACCAGATTCCGATCCTGGGCTTTCTTATTATGTGCAATTTAAAACATTAGGTAAAAACAGAATGTGTAAATAACATTTAAGACATGAGACTGACCTTATCCTGATAAAACAAGGCACTGTCTAGGGTTTTCTCCAGAATGGTGGCCACAGCGACTCGGACTTCTCTCACATTGCACTCCAACAAGAAAATCCTAAAATAAAGAGAAATGTGGTGTAAAAAAAGCAAGACAGATTCCTATAACCCAATCTTCCCAACAAGGGTCCCGCCTACTAGCCAAGAAAAAAAATGACTCCAAGATGTCAGTTCAAGTCTCTGGAGAGCGTCAGCACACACAGGCCCTTGTGAGGAAGGAAGGTGGTTTAAGAGGAAAACATGATCCTTGAGCAAGGAGAGCAGATTGTTCTGTTTCTTCTTCCTTTCTTCCCCTAAGATGAGTAGCTGTATAAAAGTAAATCTGGACTTAAAGAGCTAGAAAAGCAAAGAACCTAAAATTTTTATAAATTCTGTTCACTCAGTAGGTTTCCCTGGCACCCCTTCCATTTCTCAGAATATGGCACTAGTTAAAAGTTCTGCGTCAGCACAGCCCCTCTTAATGCCCCTGTGCACCTGTATCTCCATCCTTTCATTTCCCCTTCTTCTCTGCTCCCAACCCTTACTTATTACTTAGTGCTCCTCTAGAAGCATCTGAGGCTGAAAAGGTCCCGCTTCCTTCCTTCCCCCTTCCTCTGTGATGATGATGATGAAGATGACAACAGCGGTTAAGGTTTATTGGGCACTTCCATCATATTTGGCACTTCCACGTTACACAATGCAAACGCATGACCTAATTCAGTCCTTCATGCGACCAGAGCGGTAGATGCAGCAGCCTCTGATGTGGCGGAGGGGACGATCCGGCAGACACATCTGCTCCCTGGGCTGAGGGGCGCAGGTAACTACCCTAGAGCAACGAGGTGACTGCACGCTTCTCCACAGCCAGCTTTTCCTTCTCTGCTTCATACACACTTCAACATAACAATCCATGTCATAATTGGCAAAGTGAACACTTACCTATCATTTCTAATACTTCTTAACAGAATACTCTCATTACCCCACGAGCAAGATTTAAATACAAGGTCATTGTAATGATCCAGGTCAAAGCTGTCCTGAGGCACTCCAGTCACAGCAGTGAAAGCTGCTCTGTCTGAGGGCAGCACCTGCATTTCCTCTCTCCCCCGCTCAACAGTATGCTGCCCACCTCGCCCTCCTTTCCCTACGGGAAGATGAGACTGGAGCATCTGAGGTCACTCCACTTCTGCTCACTCCACATAACTGTCAATGCTATGTGTTAGCTACCTACTGTGAACCTGACTCTGTTCAACCTCCACAATGATTCTGAGTGGCAACAACAGGAAAGCTGAACAGATCACAAGTACTCCTGTAACACTGAGCTCCAGAAGTTTGATCAGGCTCCAGTACAATTCTTTTGGAAAGAGTATCTGCAGGTGATGCTCCACATTTCTTATCACAGGTAACAGGAAGCACCATGAAAATGCAAACAAATCCAGAATATGGGCAGTTTTGCGGGCCAATGACTGATCTCACCCAAATAAACGGCATGACAAAAATGTGGTGGAGAAATGAAACCATTATAAATTAAAAGAACCTTGAGAGACATATAAACCAAACACAACACGGGGCGCTGATTTGGATCCTGGTCTGTACAAATTCAATGGTAAAAGAACACTGTTGAGACATCGGAAAATCTGAACGTGGATCAGGTATAGGCTGATATGAAGGAACTATTATCATTTTTGTCTAGTATGATAATGGTAAAGTGCTTATTTTTTTTAAACTTAGAGTGAAATTATATGATACCTGAAATTTACTTACAATACTTCAGAGGATTAAAAAAAAGCATATATGTGAGTGTGTGTGGGAACTTGGATAAGCAAACAAGACTGGCCAAGTGTTGCCAACTTGAGCTGGGGATAGGTACAGGACAGGGTTCATTACTCTGTCTACTTTGGCATATGTTTAAACATTTCCACAATGAAGAAATTTTAAAAGATGTAAAAGCACTCTTCATGTTAGAAGTTCTAATTTCTTTAGATCAATTTGTAAGCAATATCTGCTACTAACTTAATTCTAAAATTATAATTACATTTAAAAATTGCCCCCTAAAAGGACTATACTGAGGGCTGATCTGAGACAATACCCTCTTCACATTTATAGTTACTAAAATATTAGTATAGTGTATACTTCTCTTTCAGTTGTAACAATGACAACCTAAGGTACCTTAAAAGTTCTGAAGAAATAAGCAATTAGAGAAAGGAGAATATTAATTCTTGAAAACTATGAAATCAGAGCAATTGATAATGATGAGTAATTGGGCTTTATAAAGAAAGAGACAAAATACAGTAAACTCTACCAGAAAAAATTTAGATTAGGTAATTCACTGAAGTTCTTTACCACTATCAATTCTAAGAAACCAAAGTTACTGAGTTTCTCTGGAGATACTTAAGAGCAAGCCTGCTTGACTATAAGGGAATAAACTAAATACTTGCCATGTTCCTTTCAAATGGATGATGAGTCTATGACGTTCTACTGCTTAACATGATATACAGGAATCCTAATGGGAAGATACTGTGGAATTAAGCTGGTAAAATGGGTGAAAGGTCATCTTTAAAGCAAACTCTAAAGGGACAGGCAAAACACTTCAAAGAATTATTTGTTCTCCCTTTACGAACTGCTTGCATGTATGCACGCACAAATACCTGAGCACTTCCTGTCTGCCAGGTTCTCTGTGTGCGCAGGGAACCACACAGATGTAGCTTCTGCCACCAAGAAGCTGAGGTTTGGTGGAGGAGACAGGCAGCACAAAAGAGTGGGCCTAGTCTATACAGGGTGTTTGGGGGTGAGCAGCCCCCTGACACCTGATGGATGAGAAAGTGCTTACTCTGCAAAGAGTGGAAGGGAGATTGTTCTAGAGGGAATAACAGGAAAAACGGCCTTTAGGCAGGAAAAAAGCTGAAGTGTGTTCCAGGAATCAATAAGCTGGCAAACTGTAAGCCGGGAGGAGAGTGAACCATGGGCAGCCTGGAAGGACGGGCAAAGCCTGCACTCAAGTGAGGCCCTCTGTGTCCTATAATGGAAAAGATTTTGGATTTAACTATGAGTGCAATGAGAATCCACTGAAGAATTTTTAAGGAGAGAAGTAACATGATCACATTTGTTTAAAAGGAATGCTTTCGCTGCTTATGAGGTAGACTGGAGGAAGGCGAGGTGGAGATGCCATGCAGGCCAATAAATGAACGTGTGAAGCTTGGACCCAGAGATGAAGAGGATACAGGGTCAAGGGTTTCCATTTGACCCTAACCTGCCACCAGACAATGATCTCCCTGCAGGAAGGGACTTGTATTTCTGAATTCCCTGTTGTCTGTTTTAAGGTGAGAGACCAGAGCTTATTCATATGAGGACAAAAATACTTAGACCCAGTAGAAAATACTGGAAGGCAAAGATGCTGGAATGAGAGTTGATAATTAAAGGGCTAACTTCCTTGAGAAGCTGTGCTTACGTAGAGATATTTGTTTTGAGAGGAGAGAGGACACTTCGTTGTATCAGGAGGAAAGGAGAGGAGAACAGACTTGCAGGTGCGCAGCTTGGGCTGGGGCTGGGGGCTGCTCATCTGTCATGACTGTGCTCTCAGTGAAGTCTGTCTGAGGCAGGCTGTTAGCTGGAAGTGGGCTGAGCCACGTGGCATGTCAGAGGGGCGCGAAGGCACAGCTCGGCAGAGCGAAGGAAGAGGCCACTGAGAGATCGAGGTGCTCGCTGAGACCCACAGGAATGCTGAACTACCCGAGGATACGAGAATGATTGAGAGCAAGGTGTAAATACTCTCAGTGACTGGACAATCTCAAAAAATCAAGTGACTTTTTAATTATAGATACAGAGGTAAATGTACTATCACAGGTAATATACTATCAGATTTTTGAAAAGTAGCATTTTAGCCAGAATGTGAACTTATTAGCAATGCTGTGTAGTAACCTAGGACTGCTGACCTCTTCACTTGCCACCAGACTGTGAGTCCTGAGGGCAGAGATGTATTTTGGAATCCCCTGAGCTACAGCAGGGGTTTGGGGAGTGCTCGCCTGTGAGCACTGGATGATCTGCTTAAAAGTGACTCCAACCAGAAAAGTAATTTCAAGTTGAAATAAAGAGTTGCAGGAAACTTCAGCTCCAAATCACTGGAAGAGACACAGATTTCTTTTAATTAAAAGATACTGACACTTACTTTATCAATTCTCGTCCTTCAGAACTAATAAAATATTCAACTAGCCACTGACAAGCATCAAAACTTTTTGAAAGCAATGCTTCAATAGTGGCAATCCATTCTTCAGTGTCAACCCTTTAAAAAAAGCAAAGACAATGATGTTAGATGGACAAGTAAATAACTCTATGCAGTGTCACTCCATTTTTTTCTATTTAAAAAAATTTGGGGGGGAGTAGGATGGAGGATAAGCTAAGTACTCAGTGACTGCTGAAATAACATGGCTCCAAGTGCCCTACAAGCTAATGTTTTGCATTTTTTGGTGCTTGTGGTGTGACTTCTCGCCCTCAACTCCCTCATCAAACAGAAGTGTGAAGAAGCTTAAGTCTTAGACTTGAACTTTCATCTTCTGCATCTTCTTCAACTTCACTGGAAAATACACCTGACCTGAGCATTTTGTTTCACTTAATTAATTAATTTACATTCATAAGATGCTCACGTTTAGCATAGGTAAATACATCAACATTTTTATACTTTATTGCTGCAAACATTAATATCCTACCTTATGAAATAAAAATACTTAGGCAAGGAAAAAATACTTGGAACCTCACACCACCCCCGCCAGTCCCTCACGACCCCAAATGGTAAATATAAACAAAATGGAAATAGAATGCAATGTGTAGGTGGCTTGAGCAAATCTCACAAATGAAAGTAATCAAATAAATCTCCTTAGTCAGTCCTATGCCAGACATTAAAAGAAAGAAACACATTATTTCTTCTTTTTCAATCATGTAATAAAGGTAGATATCACTTAATAAAAAATGAAGCTGTCATATTTGCTTTCTTCTCAAGAGTTTCTAGACTGCAAAATCTTTCCAAAGCCTCTCCGCACTTGGAGAAGCTCACTCTGCTAGCAAGAGATAAAAGACAGAACTTCCCTGGAGAAGTGAGAACTTCTTCACTCTGAGTCTTTCCTTGCTCCAGGTGTATCCTACAGACCACTGTGTAATTACTCTCCATTCTTTACTCATTTACGCAGAGAGCAACTATCTACCCAGAATCTATGATATGTCAGGCATCGTACCATGTGCTGCAGATAAAAACCAACGATCAGTAACATGCAATCAAAGTCTAGAGTTTCTGTGTTTCTTCTGAACAGTCTGCCTCCCTGTTCAAAACCCCTCATGATCTCCCCCTGAGCAAATTCTAAACTCCCTTCTCTGGCACTCAGAGCTCATCCAAACTCAACATTTGGTCTTACTTCAAACGAGTTCCTTAAATGAGTAACACATTAGTCATTCACAGTTCCTTAGGCAACTCTTGTCTGTTACTCAGGTTTTTCCTGCCAACCTAAAATGATCTCTGTTTCTCTACTTTTGCTTTTCTTATTCCTTTGAGAATGTAAATGTCTTAAATGCCTACCCAGTTCCCACACTCAGAAATGATTTTGCCCAATTTCTAAAGATGTATAGCATTTACGCCTTTCACTAGTTATTTCTTTTCTTTGTTCTGTCCATCTTTCCGAATGGATTAGAAATTCTTTAAAAATAGGAAACCACGTCTTCATCATCTGAGTGTATTAAGCAGTTGCCTTCAACTACTTAAAACTATGTTTTGAATTTATAAATTCACTTTAGTTGAATTAATCAGTGCCTTTTGTCACAACAGACTATCAAAACCTATCACTTCTTACCTGAGTTTTTTCTTTGTTCGTAGATAAGTTTGAAAAAGGAATTGAATGGCGAGCTGTAAGCTCACCTTTGCCATGCAAGGGTAGCACGGATGCTTTAGTTTAGTCTACGGGAGAGGGAGAAAAAGGAGGGCATTTTTCACAGGTGTTTTATAGACTATCACACATTGAGATATCTATATTACTAATGCGATATCTATATAACAAAGTTAAATACTAATAAGAAAAATCCAGCCAGTTTATTATAGAAAATGTTCCAGTTAAATCTTAACAAGATTAAGAAAAGATAGTTTCTTCCCTTCTTTTATGAAGCCTTCTCAGAACAGAGCCTTTAGACCACAGGATGTTAAAGTTACCCATCATCAGACTAAGAAAGTTTTCCCCTTACTGGCAAACTGTGATCACGGTACTTAAGAAAAAGAAGCACTTGGAAATTAATCTTGAGTCTGGTAATGTCTGATTACAAATTAGGAAATACTAATCCCCACAAAGCCCAATATCCATTTACATCACCTATGGCTACTCTTGAATTCTTTATAAAATTTAAACAAGGACACTTTAAAAACATAGTGAGTGGAAACCCACCCCCATTCACCATACATTCTCAATATTGCCCATATTTCAGCATCACCCAATAAGTGACACATCTGTGGGAATTTTTTTTGGGCAGCTAATCTAAATGCTAACAAATGAGAGTCATTTGAGAGAATGAGTCACTGAATGTTTTAGCTGAAAGATATGTAACTATGAATTCTTATTTCTTTAGTAAAAATCCAACTTACAGCATTCAATGATGCTAAAGACAAAACAAAACTGAAATAATCACTACTGTACACATCTCTGTTCTTCATAAACTTGAGGTTTTCATCTCTCACCATCTATAAAAGAAAACTGGTAATTATTTTTAAGGAACAGGGTAAATATTCAATATGTAGAAGACATTTTTAAATTTTAATTGAAGTATAGTCAGTTACAATGTGTCAATTCCTGGTGTACAGCACAATGTCCCAGTCATACATACACATACACATATTCATTTGTAGAAGACATGTTTTAGTGATATATTAGGTAAAATGGGTTCATAAAAACACTTCTCTCAAGCTTTGAAATTTTTAAAAAGCAGAGAGAAAAACTTCCTTTCAAATATAAGAAGTTGTAAAAAGGTGAATTATTATTCATTACACCAAATTCTTTTGGGAAATTCAGGAAAACCACCCTGTGAAGGACAAGTGAATTTGGGCAGGAAGGGACAAGCAGAGCTTTCCCAAGTATAACCAACTCCATGCTTTCCTTGTATCAGATTGTTTAATTCTCTTTCTCTTAATCAAAGACTCCATATTTTTCTTAAATTTTTGGATTCTGGCTACTTAGCTTTTGATTACTTAGTGTTTAAAGTCTGGACTGGGGAGCTGGACAATCTGAATTTAAATCCTGGCTCTGTGACATTGGCAGGCCATTTCTCCTTTCTCAGCCTTTGCTTTCCCATCTGAAAAATGGGAATAAAACCTGCTACTCCACAAGTGTTTAAGAATTAGGGACTTGTTTAAAGCACACAGCACAGAGTAGGTATTCAATAATTAATGATCACTGTTTTCTCAGTTTTACTCAAAGGTTATGAAGCTTAACATTTTTTTCTCCAGATTCAGTAAGTTAACTTCAGCAATGTGTTCCTCTACTGCCCACTCCCCCCACCTCTTGTCACACAGCAAGCAGGTCAGTGATAGTGCTGGCCAGTCGTGAGTCTGCAGCCACCTGTGTGACAAGGTGGGTCAGGAGATGCGGTGCTAGAGGAACAACTAAGTCCACAAGAAGGCTGGCAGGAGTAGTTCTGGACCTATGAGATGGATTTTGACATTTATCTGGATTTTCTCCTGGAATTTTTTATATAGTTCTTACCTGGTATATTCGAACAGGCATTTTCTCCACAAATAGTCCTTTCTTCTCACCTTTTTTAACCAGCTTGGTTAGAATAGAGAGCCGGTCGTTGTTAGGCCTATGGGGCCGAGGAGATGACTGAGGTGAAATTTCTGGTGAAGATGGTGCTGACCTAAGAGACAGGATTGGAAAACTGTTTGTCTAGAATAAAGTGGCCATTGTTTTAGTAGTCACCATGACCAGATAAACTTGGTATTAGACTTAAAAATAAGCTGTATACTTTTATGATCCAACATATTAAAATGCAAATTCACAGACAACCGGACTTTAAAAAAACCTTTTGGACAGTGCCGGCAGAGTACTATACTTTGAACGTAAAGTATACTCAATAAATGAGATTTTAAGAAATCTCAATTCTAGAATGAAAAAATTTATATTTCTAAATGCAAAATATCTTTCTGCCAAGGAAATAATGACCAGGTAGCTCTAAGAAGAAAGAAAAGGGGTAGAGGGATTTACCTATTTTCTTTGCAGAATTTCTCTCTAGCTTAGCTAATTACCTTTAAATCCCCAAATCTCTAAAGATCACAGTATCACCTACTGAAATCACATGGCAAATTCCACAGAGGAGAAACTCACAGAGAGAGATCCTCAGCCTCCTGCCGAACCACGCTGACTCGACTTTTCTTTGGTAACACTGGGGAGTTCTGATCAGATACCCTTTGGTAGAAGAGCATATAGGCATTCCAGTATCTTCGGCGTACATCAGTATAAGGGTTTGCTTCATAATGAGACATTAAGAAAGAAGTCTTTGTAAATAAAAAAGTTGTTTTTATCTTGACAATCTATAACAAAGGACCCACAAATCCAGCAAGTAACTACTAACTAAATTTGTTTTTTTAAGTAGTACTTCGATAAATGCCAAGTATAAGTAAAATGTCTGTCTTTTTAGAGCACTGCTTAACATCACTCTGCAGGTGGTACAGAGGGGCAGGGAGTAAGGGAGTTGTATGGCAGTGGAGTAGGGAAAGAAGGTAAACATAGCTAAGCAAGTTGAAATTCAATCAAACAGCAAGAACTAACACTTAAAGGTAACTTCTATGGCACAGGATGGGATTATAATTGGCCTCACTTAACCATTTCTGCTTAGAACAGCCAAATCCGGGTAAATTTTGGCAACGATACTATGTTCAGTCATTAAAGGTTACTACCATTAGATGCATGACTACCATGGTATGTTACCAAAATCTAATGCTGTGGATCTTAAGCAGGTGGCAATTTTTAAATGCCCCTAGAATATTTCAAAGTCAGGTTTCAAAAATGCTAAGACTGCTGCAAAATATTTTTTCTTCAAATAGCAAATTCTGATGGTATTTTGTGATGTACTTTTCCTTATACATTTTCTTCTAGGGGTGGGGGTGGGGGGTTGTAGAAAGATTCCTTTGCAACACTGCATAACATAATGATTTTAGAAACACACGTGCTATAAATGTCTTTTCTATTAATCATTCCTCTATATAAGTGAAAATGAAATTTGAAAATTTTAGTGGACAACTACTTATTCTGAAACTATTTTTAATGTTGAAATTCTTTCACTATTTGTTCTTTCTTATTTATTTCTTCCACTTAATTTATCCCCTCACTCCAAGGCTGCTGTAAGGAATTATTTAAAAATATGTTTGTAAGCAGCTTGAGCCTTCTCACTCTGGCTAACAAGGAGTTCATGGATCTATACAGCTAGAGTGGTAGTACGTAAGAATAAAATCTATTCTACTTTTATGTAAAGAATACTGCTTCCAACTTGATAGAAAACTGTAAATTAAAAAAATAAAACAAATGGAAAATGTCCATTTGTAAATACTTACTTTGATCATAAACTTTTGGTCTATATTCTCCTCCAAAGCATTCGTACTCCAGGGTCTCATCATTTAGGTCAAATTCTTCTATGACTGTGTCATTAAATTTATACCATTTTCCTTTTCCACATCCCCTAGAGCACAGATTTAACAAAGAAACAAACAAACAAAAACATTATAAGGTTAAAGAACAAACATCTCCATCCCTAGCACTTATCTCTATGTACTGTCTACAAACATAGCAAGTGATTATCATTTGAAATACCTAAGAGAAATAAAGTCACAGTTACTTCAATTTCTTAAACAACTTTTCAAACTGAAGAGGGAGAACAGTTGTCACAAGTTTTAAAAATCCAGTATGAAATAAGATCAAAGAAGCAAAAGCTTCTCTGCACCATGATGGTAAGTGTGGATGACAAAGCAGGGCAGGCACAGGGGTGGTGGCGGGGTGGGTGGAGAGACTGCTGGAAACAGGGAGTGAGGGAGTGGCTGGAGAACACCTTACCGCCTGTCCTTGATGAAGGAGTAGTAGTGGCCGGCATGTGCCTGCCCACTGTGTACAATGACGCCCACAAGTTCATAATTTTCTGTGAGGGCAACTTTTTTCCGTGGAGATCCTCCACCTCCCTGATCCATACCTCGCCCATTTTCACCAACTTCAGAAGATGAATCTTGACGAGCCATTCCTGAAACTGTGTAAGGCTCCATGTTTAGCATCCAGGGAAACTATTTTAAAGGAAAAAGAGCACATTAATATTGATTAGTAACATATAACAATAAAGTCAGTACAAAGAAGAGGGGTGTGTTTTCCTAATTTCAGCTAGGACTACCCTCCAATTCAAGCACACAATCTCTGAATGGCTCACAAGTCTGGGCAAGTGTAAGCAGTCTCTCATTTCAGCATTAAGGAAAGCATTTCACTTCACGGCTGTCACGATGATGCCCTCTAGAAATGAGGGTTACTGGTTAGGGATCTGCCTGTACCACTAGCAGGAGCTGCTTAAGACAGGGGCTGTGTACTTCTCAGAATGCTAAGACCATAGCCTTACACATTTTAGGTGAAATTTGAAAATATAAAAAGGAAACAATAAAGGGAGAGAAGTGATAATAATTATTTAAAAATCAGGAAAAAAAAGTTACCCGTATCTGTTCATCATATTTAATGGAGCGTCCACTCTCCCAGTCAAATCCAAATCTCATCAGGTGAATGACCAAGACACTAGGTAATGACTTAATACAGGTCCTTTTCACTGTTATTCTCTAAAGAAGAGCAAAACCCAGTTATCTCCATGGAGAAAATAAAAAACATCAAAGTAATTAATACAAAGGTCACAGATTTCTATAGGGCTTTCCCATCTATGTGGACACAAGTCACGGCACAATCCAATGGAAGTAACAACAGGATCTTAATACTGAGCTCACATAAAACATAAAGACAAAGTACATGAATAAGAAATTAACTTGTTTTTTAAAAAGAGCAAATGTAATACCTTTTCTTTACACTTTTCACAGTAATATGCATTACTTCCCTCTAGAACTTCTCCTCTAACAAACTGGTCCAAAGAAATTTCCAAACTCTGACAGGAAGTAACTCCGAGGTTGAGAGCCATAAAAGCTTCCTCACGTTCGTATCTGATCGGGAAATAACAGAAAAACCATGATCAGCAATGGAATTTAAAAATCTTGAAGTTATCACAATACCCGAAATTGAATACAGAACTACATTCATAATCAACGTAATTAACACATACCTCCCCTCATCCTTTTAAAAGTATACTACCAAATAAAAAATCCCATTTTTTTTACCATTTAGAATTGTCTAAAATTACAAATTTCAACAAAGGAATTTTAGAAATAGAAACCAAAGAAATTTAATTCAATAAACATTTATAGATCCATTGAGAGAATATCTACACGCCTTTCAACAAATAAAAAATTTACAACGTACTAGAAGAAACACTTAAAAATGATGGTGATTATTTTTTGATGTTAGTATTATCTTCACTAACCTGTGAGGACAGTCTTTACAGATCTTCTGATCAGAATAGATGCCCTGAAAAGTATTCTTAAAAATTTGGTCTCTCCCCATTTTCTGTTGAAATAAAAAGTTAAAATTTTAGTTGATGCCTCTAGAACTTTCAGGTTGTATATACAGAATTTCATTTAGATCTACGCTAAAGCACAGATTTTAACTTAACCAACAAAATAAAAAATGAGTTACCTCGGTTGTTTAGGCTGGAAACTAATGAAAGAACTATAATCCATTTGACCCACTGTCAGGGTAACGCACATAATCAGAAAAGGAAGAGGAGAGCCACCAACTACAGCAGATGACAAGGACAGCATGCCCATGATGACTCTGACTCCTCCCCAGGCCACGATTACCAAGCTAGTATTAACTCTCCACAATCTCTTCTCTCTTCTTATATATGCTATAAATATATGTTATCTTAAAAAAAGAAATGGATAACTTGTGCCTACTGATGAGAGCAGAGGCAAACACTGGCAGTGATGGGAGGCTGTCCATATCTTAGAAGGCGATACCATTTAGGAAGTCTGTCACATGTTTTACTGGGTAGAGGTAGGAAGCGTTGGGTTAGATAACCACAAAAAACTTTTTAGTTTGGTCCTTTTCTTCCCTTTGACAAAACAAGACTGCTCTGCGTGGGGCCATCAGTTCACCTTGACAGCAGTCCTCCTCTGAGGTCAGGTTACTTCAATGCAGACACAGAGCATATAGTTACACACGGTTATTATTACATACTTTATCAAGTGTCAGATTAATTAAGAAGAAAATAAATCTATAAGCTATAGTGTTCTGTGTATGTTTGATATTCAAACCCAGAAGAAATGAATTATAGTTGTGGTATTCAAGATGATCACTTTCTGATTTGTCAGTTTCAGAGTAATCCCAAATCCTGAACCACTGTTCTCATGCTACAGACTTTGAGGGCGTTAGAGGGAAAATGAAACTTTTTCTACCTTGAGATACTCATCCATCTGATCGATGAGACTAGTGAAGAATTCATATGCATCCTGCTGTTCTCTTACATAAAGTTCTTTGTTCCACATCTTGAAAATCTATGTAACAAGAGTTAAACACGTTGTTAAAGGGAAAGTAGCAATTTCTGAATATAGTAGAAAAGGAATGTGAAAGAGCCCTTAAATGTGATTAAAAATCAGGTTCACTATTAGGATATAAAAGTTCTTATACTGACATGAGATTAGCTTGTATTTAGCAGCCTATGCTTCTCCCTGGTCCCTTTATAGTTAAGTCTATGAAACCATACCGGCTGAGATCTAAGGCCACCCAGAGAGTTTCTCTTAGAAGCCAACCAATCTATATGGGAAAATATAAGGCGAAGCATAGTAAAGCCATGTTAAAACAGAATGTTCTTTGTTTAGAGGCATTAGTGAAATTGGCATAGCTTCAGAGGAATAATTTGAACAAATACTTCAAACAGCTAAATAAGAAACATGAGAAATAGTCAAAACAATTAAGATCAGCAAATCCCTAGCTGACTATTCTCAACATTCTAATCACTTGAATCAAGCACCAATGTCAAAAAGAACTGTATAGACAACTGGATTAATCTAGAGTTAAAAACAAGACAGTTATCACTAGAGAAAGAATGTGGCCACACTCCATGTACATAACATCTTTTTATCTAAAGAGTTACTGGTTGAAATACCTTCCAAAAGTTCTCAGGTACATAGTACTGCAACTTGCTTTCCATCAAGTGCCCAAAAAGAGACTGTACTTGGTAGAATACACTGTCGTCTGGATTGTCCGTGTCATCATCCACTGAAAGCAATGACTAAAAAGAAATGAACTGTGTTAAATCAGAAATATTCAACCGTTTTACAGGAAACTTGACTTAACATACGTGTGAGCACCCATATTGCTCTTTGAGAATGGTATGTGTGTTTGGATGCATCTATAACTCTGCACATGCTTAGCTTCAACACTTCCTAGCTGGTATAATCATGAATAAATCATCTCTTTGAGCTTCTGTTTGATTACGAATAACTGGAACTAGATCCTGGAACTACCAGGATCTCTACAAGAAATAAGTGCAACATGATAACACACAGAATAGTCTCAAAACTATTTACTGCTGAATCACAAGTTACTAGTATAGTGCTGATGATAAGTCTAAATATATCTAGAACACCAAAAATGTTAGTGATTTTATAACAGAACTTGAGAATAATTTAGTTCAAAAATCACATTAAGTCAAATACAATGTCAAACAGGCAGCATATTACCCTAGCAGACTTATAAAATATGTGACTATGAACAATATATTATCTATAAGATTTATGAAGCTGCTAGAGAATCTCCAATTTTGCTTAGTTTTGGTAAGCCCAAAATTGCAACATATGAATATGGAACAGTTCTCAGGCAATGTACACATACATCATTTATGATACTAAACAGGAAAGAGGAAGGAAATCACCTCAGGGAGACCCGGCTGCATATACAGCTGCTGGAAGACTGCATTCATGTAACACGTAGCGCCACCGTTCCTCAGCCCCACAAACCCTGAGCTGGACCTGCTATCCACTGGGGGAAGGTACTAGGAAAGAGATGAGTAGAAATAGTAGAGGAGAGAGCATTAGCATCTGCCACCAACACATGTCCTCACAGCTACACGAGATGCCCAAAGGAAAAAGATACAGATTCATCCATCCTGCATGTTTATGAGTCTGCAAATGCAATGCAATTTTAGAACTGCTCTCTCAATGTTTCCTTTCGGTTCCTAAAGTACCTCGCATACGGGGCGTGTGTCTTTGTACAT